CCTTGCGTAAGTGTCCCCCGGCCAGTAGCGATGCGTTCCGTCGAGCAGGCGCAAGTCTCGACGTTGACACGCGACAGGGACAACTGTCGTTTCATCCTTTCTTTCCATTCCCCGTGTTAGAACAATTAGAAGCTCCGCTCGCCGTGTCGTTGCACCGAGATTCGTGCTAATCGCCGCGCAAGTGAAACAGGAAACGTTCGATAAACCGACAATCTTCTTCGTAAGACAATCCATCGCGAGAAACTCCTTTCTCTTTAACACTTTCGCGGTTCGATCAAACACGTTGCATTTCATCGAACGGTAGTTCTCGATACATTATAGAATTTGCACGATAAATAATTTGATCCCCGGATCAACAATGCGACGTTCTATCCCTTGAACTTTTCAAGTAATGCTCCTTTTGTATTGTAAGAGTTTATTCATTTAAATTGAATTTGACTGTTGGACAAGGCGTTAACACCCGCATACTTCTTGTGACTAACAGACGATGACGTATGATGTTTGGCCTATTGGTCATCCAACACTTTTATTTCTAATAAATCAAATTTAATTAAATTCAATCGAATAAGTAAATATCTATAAAGTAGCGGGGGAGAAGATTGAGAATCACTGCTCTAGAGACCAAATACTGTGAGAGCCTTGGAGATTGGCCGGTTGCTGTCTCCAGCAATTCTTGGAATTGGCTTCCCGCTTGTCCCGGCGTGGCGGTCAAGTATGTTTATGTTCGCGTCTCTCTCTATCGTGTTACGTTTCACACTTCGTGAAAAAACCGAGACAGATTTCTCAGAAGATTAACCTAACCTCCCTTCAGCTTTGGCCCGATTAAGCTCCCTTCTGACCAGTTTCGGTTCCGAGGCGGACGAACTCTATTTCCCTCTTCTGGATTCGATTGCTTTTTTCCCCCGACGAGATGTCGCGAGATCGATAATTCGATTTTCGAAACTGCCCCCGAAGCTAATTTGGATTTTCATCGGAAGCGACGTACGAAGTTATCAACGGCGATTTCGAGGATTTGTCGAAAACGGATGGGGACGATCGAACGTTCGCTCCGTTGGTACAGTAATCGGTTTCAGCGACCTATTTGTTTTCAATCAACGGCAATACGGCGAGTAAAGCGAAAGATCTCGTGGAACGCGACGAACTGTTAAGGAATCCTATTAAAAAGGAGAAAAAAAAATTGAGACGAGGATGACGGTAATCGGGTTTGAATACGCCATTGTCGATTCGCTCGCCAATAGTTTACAGAACATCGAACAAATCGAATCGCTTCTGACTAGTGTTAACGCGCGCCGACACGAGCAGCTTATGAATATCGATTCTTGCGGATGCATTCGTGCTAGAAATTCCAAAGCGAAACGATATCCGCATCGCGTATCGAACGCGCGATAAGACGTATCTTTCATTTTTATTTCAACACTTTGTCGACCGTATACTTTTCGTAACCTTAAACTTCTACAACTCCTGCGATACGGGGATAAAAAAAAATTGAAATTTTTAAAGGTTCCAGTGATGATTTTAATTTTCAATAATTTCAATGATGACTGATTCAATGGATGTCGAATTGAATACCCAGTGTAAATTTTGTTCTTCTTAACGAAGATATTTGGCATGCGATTGCCTCGCTGCGTCGCTGTAAATTTTAACGTCCTTCTGCGCCAATATTTGTCTCTTATTTTTATATTTCTAAACGCATTTATTACGCAACCAAATAAAACGTTCAAAGATTGTTTCAATATCGGTGATATCTTTCTTCGAGGAGCAATATCGCTCAGAATCTATGGTCGCGCGAGATTAGAATCGTCGGGAATGTACAATCGATGCGCATCTGGATTCAATCCCGCAAACTTATGCAACGCGCCGAGTAAATATCGCTGGCTTTGTCGTCTCGAACGAATTCCAATGGCGTTATCCAACTCCTCGAAAATATGTCGCAGAAATTGTATCGGTTCTTCCGAACCGAATGCAATTCTCTGATCAGATCTCTTTCGATCCTCCGCAATTTCATAAAGTGGTCGGCCACGAACACCGCGGTTATCTTTTCTAAAATCCGAAATACGATGGACTCGCGTGGACACGAAGGTAGTACGGATTATCATCTCACAGCGTGACGCTAAACTCCGACGTTGATTCAAAAAGCGGGACAAGCTCGTGTCGACTGATTGGCCTGATTGTTGACGGTCGTAGTTCAATAACCATTTAACATGAGACGCGGAACAACAGTCCATCGAGTCGCATGGCACCTAAGAAACAACGCCTCGCTCGGCACGTGACTTCGGTTGCAAACAAAAGTTTCTTGGAATTGTCGTCGACTTGTGTCGAAAAATGCTTCGTTAACACTAGAAAGACTGAAACTTGGTATATACCTATATTGCCCAAAAGCAGTCAAAATTACTGCATTGTGAGAGAATCACTAATGTGTAAAGAAATTTGTTTAAAATTAATTTTTAATATTATGAATTTAGGGCGCAAAAGAAATAAAATAAACAACTTGTTGGAACAAGTATCACTGCATAAAGATTCGACTAACAAGTACTACTCTAGCTTATTGAGAAACTGCAACTTATCAAGTATACGCCCAAATCGACAATTTATCATGTATCGGTAATCGAAAAAAAATGAAAACTGTTATTTTAATACAGAGCCGAACTGGTCATATAAGAAATTTACTTGATTCAATAATAAGAGTCATTTGATTATTTGAAATTTCCCAAGCAGTCAAAACGACTGCTTTTGGGCAATATAGGCATACCGGAAATGAAGGAGGGGGGAGGTAACTACAATTATTTCTAATTGAAATTAAAAAACAGTCAAAATGACTTCCTTGGGCAATCTAGTGTTAAAAAGAAAGACTCGAGAAGCTTAATTTCGGACGTTTCGTGAATACCGAAAGACTCGACTGAGTCAGAGATTAAGCGCTAACGTGGTTTGTTGCACCATCGTCGCGAAGTGATAACGACCACGTTTAACGACCACGCGGTTGCGGGCTAGAACATATTTTAACGATGATGTGTGTACAATGACGTGCGACGTATTAATTAATTTCGCTGGAACGGTGGCCGTAAAATCACGAGAACCACGAATAAACGTGAAACCACAAAGGAATTCCAACCCGTCGGGGATCGTTCGCCGTGACATTCCGATTACCTCCTCGCCCCGAGACGTCCGACGAACGACTCGTGTATTTCCGGGAAAGATTACGGGCGAACTCCGCTAAGTCGAGCGCTCGAAACGTTTCGGATTACGAAAACCACCGACGACGCTAATTCACTCCGGTCGTCGGGAATCGACTCAAAATACACACAATTTTATCATTAACTAAATACACAAACGTCAGTTACGTCGATTCCGATAGCTCGACATCCGGTGTAAATATCTGTCTGGGCGATGAAACGATCTTCAAATCTGCCGAGAAACGGTGGTTTCGTCCGGCCAGCGAATTCTCTCGAAGCCAAGAATAAACAAAGTTAAAAAAATGTCTCTCGGAATTTCCGAAGAACCCGAGAGTGATTTCCGCGTCAAAGTAATTCCGGTGGTACGAGCAATCATGTAACTTCGCGAAGATAATACAGTGACGAGGCTGCGTTCGTGCAATTTGCGTCTCGTCTCCGTGCAACTTGTAGAGAGAAGTCGCCAGTAATTTTCAACGTCGATCGTAAACTGTTGAAATATAGTACCGAGCATAAATTTCGTGAACTTCGACGGGGCGATCGGTATTGGTGAATTACGACCGGAGAACAGAGCGTGGATAATACCAGAAGCCAGTGATTTGATTGTTGCGTAAAAAGAAAGGTATAGCGTACGACGATACGTGACGTCATCGAATTCGTGTTCTAGCGACGAAACAACCGTCCGACGGCGGAACGACTGAAAGAATCGTGGGACGATTTTGTTATTACTCCGCGAATACCCGCGTAATTAGATCAGATTTTATTAGTTGAATTTCGATTCATCGATGTCAACGAGCAGAGCTGGCAATCGGTCAATTGGAATTTTATTAAACACTCGTCGATCGTAGTCCCGTGTCTACGTTTATTTTTACGCTCGGAACTTGAACGGAAGTCTAATACATTTAAATTAACACATTTTCACATTTATATATTTCTTTTTCGTGCTAACACAGAAGTTAAATTTGCTTCGAATGATTGGACACGATAAGTACGTGTCACGGTGCTTAAAATAAACTGACACAGAGACTAAATGCTAAATGTAATGTTGACGGATACTGTTAGGCTATTCGATATCTCGACCAATATGGGAATCGGGTGCTAACGAGAATTTTACTGTTGAATCAACACTATTTTACTATTGAATATTAACCAACTTCTCCTTCGTGATCTTGTTCCTAAAAAGACGCAAACAAATTTTGATTCTCGCCTAATTATTCCGTTCGTCAAGGGGCTAAATAAGAATTAGAAAAATCTGTTTGATCGATTGAAAAATTTCTACCGTTCGAGCCGTGATCCATTTCATCGCATTCGTTACATTTTTTATACAATTATCGGACTATGCTACAGAACTCTAGACGTGAATTTTTTTTCCATTCAACAACCAACAACGAAATTGCGCAATGTAAGCGTGTTTTCGTCGAAAATCTAACGATGGAATCGATCCACTATCGATCGTTTATTTTAACACGTTGACTGCCAGTCTAAAATCCGAAAATTGTTTAGAAGACCAAAACTTTGATTTTAGTCAATTGTAAACTACACAACTTATTAAAATTTATTTTCTTTAACATATCAACTTGAGAATTAATTGTTTTAGTTCCACTGTTAAAAGTTCTGTCACCAATATATGGGTGACGTGGCAGTCAGTGTTAAACAATCAAAAAATAAATTAACCCTTTTTTCTGGACTCTAAAAATTATCGTTTGCACAATAAATTATTAGTGGCTTTGACGAATATTTTGGAGTTTATCCAAGTGTTTTCGAAGTCTAGAATAATAAAAAATCATGCCCAAGAAGAGAAGGGTCATATCGTAGGCGGAGGGAAGCACTCACCGATACCCTTTTGCCAAAGCCAAGGAAGGACAGCTTCCTTTTGGTATTCTCCATCGTTCACAGATTCCGGTAGCTGCTGGGGCAGCTATCAGCCTAAGGTGTCGTCTTTTTCCTGGGTGCTCGACCGATCCTGAGTCGGGACGGCGATGTCCACATGTGGAGGAGTCGCTGGGATGGCAGCTCCGTTCTGTTAGCTATGGAACAAACGATTTCTCGATTAATTTCTAGTTAAATATTTTAACTTTGTTTACAATTATTTCGCAACCCGATAATTCGTCGTTGTTTACTTCACGGCTGCTTGGAAAAAAATTCTTCCATAACATTTGTTGTTGTTCCATGGCTTACGCCACTTTCATAATCGCCGACACAATTAGGGGCTTTCCGTACGTTATCAATCTTCGCGTAAAACGTAGGAAGGTCTTGCCAAAATCCCGCTAATCGTGATAATTTATTCTCTACTTCCCGTTTGGTAAATTGGTAAAAAAAACTTCGATTCGTTTAAAAAAAAAACAATTTTCTCTTAATTTTTCTTATCATATTTCTCCAACGATTTCGAATAGATTTTAATTGGTTACACGAAATGACATAACGCGACGACTCGACGCGGTTACGCATCTGTGGCGGTGGATTTAAATGAGAATTAAAGTGGCACATAAATAATATGATAAGCTAGATGAGTGTCACATAATCTACGCGATAAGCTAGATGCCTGGTAGCGAGGATATTAAGCACGATTTAAGAAACCTTGTGGTGCTTTCGTTTGGAAATGATCATGACTTTTGGAAAAATATTTATTTAACCAACCCCCTACTTTTAATGCAAGCGAAACGCGTAGAGATTATTAGGTATCGTACGTAAATATTATATCGTATATAATATTTGAAGGAATACTTCGATAGAAGTGCTTAAAGGGCGAAGAAGGTAGAAGACGCGACCCAATAATGGCGAAGGGAGTGGATACAGACCTTTAAATGAAACAGTGCAGTCTCGAGTCTCGGGGATAATGATCGTTATTGTGAGTGATCTCGAGAACACTTGTTCACGAACTACGGATCGCGGAGATCTCTCGAACGGTCGAGCCTGGATCGAGAAAGAGAGCTGACACGACAACAGTGACCGACCGACTGACTTCATTCGAGGCTACCAGCAACGCGACGTCCATCCAGAGGGACCGCGATTTCAATATAAGTTGATGAATAGTGTCCCGACATAGCGTAACGTCCGCGTTATAAATAGCCAAACAATTCGATACGTTCTATCGATGATTTGGCCCAACATTTACTCAAGCCCCGCAGTAAACCAACTATTTACGTTTCGTTCTTAAATCATTTATATATTAGAACCTATCAACGAATTTTTTAAACCGACATCCAAAACGCCAAAAAAATTAACGTTCATTTACCAATCGTTTGCCGAAACATTATCGACGATATATCTTCTCCAATATTTACTGACTCGTATACGCACATTTCGAAAATACGGTTCCTTCGCGTAGCAAAGATTAATTCACCGAGGCGTGCTTGATTTTTTAACTGACATACCTCGGTACACGTGACGAAATAAAATTTCTATAATTAATTTATTCATTTTACGCGAATTGAAATTTTTCTTATTCACGATCCAGTGATTTATCAGGCTCCTTAACGAAGCATCATATTTCTATTATTCGCGACCAGATAAATCTCCGACGGGACAATAAAGCATGGTAGAGGAACGGAAAACAACTTTACCGCTTCGACCGGGAGAAGAATGTTCTTTCTTGTTCGTTGCAGCGGACCCTGCTGGCGCGAACAATGTCTTTCGTGCAACCGGAATGGCTAAACTGTTTCCGAGGGGAAGGATTACGACAGAACAGGTACTGTCATGGCCGACGATTTGGAAAACGCATCGCCTACGGGTTTTATCGGCGTTGTCCCCTGCGATATTCAACGAAATCGACGATCGACTCGAGGCCCCATGTAAATTACAAACAATGCAAATATTTTAAATAGTATTTAACACTGTTTTAGATATTATTTTAAGTGGATTTATGACACCTGTCGATTCGATGGGTTTCAATTTACATTACAGAAAACAAAATATTTATATTAACCAAATATTGCATAATCGCGTGACCATAAAAATCTAACAAATATCTACTCGAGATCGAAGAACTTCTGCCCGTTGGACACGATTGGGTAAAATTTACAAACGATGCAAATATTTTAAATAGTATTTAACACTATATTAGATATTATTTTAAGTGGATTTATGGCACCTGTCGATTCGATGGGTTTTAGTTTATATTGTAGAAAACAAAATATTTATATTAACCAAATATTGCATAATCGCGTGACCATAAAAATCTAACAAATATCTACTCGAGATCGAGGAACTTCTGCGCGTTGGACACGATTGGGTAAAATTTACAAACGATGCAAATATTTTAAATAGTATTTAACACTATATTAGATATTATTTTAAGTGGATTTATGGCACCTGTCGATTCGATGGGTTTTAGTTTATATTGTAGAAAACAAAATATTTATATTAACCAAATATTGCATAATCGCGTGACCATAAAAATCTAACAAATATCTGCTCGAGATCGTAAATAATAACGTGTCAGGATTTCCCGTAAAAATTTCGCAGTCGTTGCGTAAAGAATAATCCTATCATAAATGCAAAACAAACGCGTTACGCGACAGTGAATGACTGCTACCGAATCACCCGGAATGAATCATTCCGAGATAATGTTGGGTTCGCCAAAAAGTTCGAGCGTAATTTCCAACTAAAACGAACATTGATGTGATAAACGTAAAAAAAATGTTTGGATCTCGTAATAAATTTCGAGAGTCTTATATTTTGTAAGAGCAAATTCGGTACTTGCGAAGAAACTGATCCTAAAATCGTTCGACGCTGAAAGATGGTAAGTATGAAATACCTGCTGACAGACTGACTCCTTTTCCAGAATCGAGCAGCGTGTGCCTTTCGACTTTTCTTTGGCGGTCCACCGAGCACCGGAGCTTGCGATTCTACAGCGTTCGTCGCGCAACTACGTTAACGTATGCGTGAAAACGGTCGCGTCGAAATTCGTGTCCCGCGACTAAATAGCTTGTTCGAAGAATAATTGTACCGTAAACAGACCCGCGGAAGGCGTGTCTATCGATCGATTTTCGTGTGGAGAGACTCGTTCACGGATGAGCGTGTGGCTCTCGACGACGTCGACCACGGCCACGCGTTCAGAAAAGCGTCGCGATGAAGATATCTCGCGAGTCCGCCTGCCGGCTTTGTGGGCTGTTCAACGAAACTGGGCCCTTTTGTCAGCGCACCATCTGCCGCGTTGTCGCGTCAAATTGCGGTTCTTTATAGTTTCTGTTCTCGCACCTTCGTCGCTGTATCAACAGTTCGGACTGTGCCGTTGAATTACGGTTTGATAACGCGTGTTACGGCGGATGCCTGAAATTATATGCGCTCGCACGCGATAATTCGTTACCGACGGACAGCCATTACGAGAATTACCGTTCTTATCAATTCGTCGTCTCTCGAACATTTTTTTTTCTCTTTTTTCTTTTTGCTTCGTACACGCTCCCCAAAATAATTAGATCGCTTACGCAAATGACTTTATCCTTGAACGAGGTACTCGATACTTGGTATGCTCTAACGCGATGTACATACAAATTGAACATTCGGTATAAATACCGTGTACGCGACACTATTTACCGAGAGTAATCGTTTAGGTAAAAATAAACTGTTGTGTTGACTTTTTACACGTTCTTATCGATAATTAATATCAGCTGGTTGCCGGATTTCGATGCTTCGACGTTTTATAATAGTTTCTAAAACCAAACGCATGGTTGAACGTTTCCTGGGTATTCCATTGGTACATTTCTTCTTCTGATTCTAATAAAATGTTGCAATTACGAGAAATTATTCAGTTTTGCAACCACTAAATTATGGGTATTTTAAACCCGTGGTAACCTAATATCGACGAGAGCAACAGTGGCTGTAAAACTGAAACCGGCTAGAATGAAATTATTTACCTTACACCATTCGCCGTCCGTTTCGCGAACCGACTAATAGACACAGTCGTGTATTAATAGTGACATAATGTAACCTTGTTTACGTGCTATGCCAAATTCTTCTGTTCCGCTTCGAAACCTGTTTCGATCTATCTACAGGCTGCGTAAAGTGACTCTATCGAGTTGTAAGAAACTTGAAATTCGCGAAAATCGTGACGCGTTTTAATGAAAATAAATCTAGCAGGGACGAACTGTCAGTATCAGAGTATAAGCGCAAAACAACAACATAATATTCGTAAATGTTTCAGGGCATGCATGATACAGTACGTGGACGAATACGACCCAGTAAAAGTCGATGAATAAGTAAATCTGTATTACGTAGTGATAGGCGTAGGCACGTTTCGTGCACGCTGTCAAGTTTTATGGTCTACCCTCGTTTTAAATATTCAAATGTCGCGAAACGGATCCCGTTACACGCATGGTCTTCCGCAGGGCGAAAATAGACGATCGAATAATTCGGACTGGTGCAGTCATTGCGAACGTATAGAAAAGTATTGCTCGATTGCATTCTACTTTCTCTTTTTTTTGTATCTCCGTTCTTGCTACCGTCTTCGACGAGGAAGTGCAACGTATTTGGAATGCCAATGACAGAGGATGGGAGCAAACGACGCTGCAAATATCATAGAGAGAAACGAATAGATCGAAGGATAATTTTAAACCCATATTAGAGCTCGTTCTTTATGTGCACAAACGATTTGCGCGCGAGATCTGAGCTATCGAGTAACGTAACTTTCTAAAAGAAACGACAGACTCGACGTAAATAGTTTCGACGTCTCTAATTCGTCGTATTATCGCGAATCTGAGACACTCAAATTACACATGCTGGATCCTTTGATAGAATATCGATACAGTCAAAATGCCAGGTTTGCTTTGAAAACAGCTACAAGTATGATTAGTTACTAAATACATGTACTTTTGAGCCAAGCGGTTAACCAATAATTTTTTTTTCATCTTTGTATTTTCATATCTTCATAAATTCAATGTCTTTGCAATTCCGAATCGAACAGACAGGCGGTAAACGTTACGACAGAATTGCTATCCACGGCGTAACATCGCGACATATTATTCATTCGTCTCTGTTAATTTTTAATTGTGCCTCTCTGACTAAGCGTCTGAGCCTCACAATTGAAATAATGGCTAGGCATCTTATTAAAGACCGAACGATAATTCTCCTCGAGTTAATAGTTTGTGTTCCGTGTTCCATGGATGGAAGTTCCCGTTGAAAATGTTTCCATGACTCAACCGAGAACGGACGAAACTTGTTTCTTCCACGAACGGGAGACAGAGAGTGAGAGAAAGAGAAAAGATGTCGCTCGGAGCGTCGCAGCAGCACGTGTGCCGAGAAGAAAGGACACTCGCGCAGTTGCACGATGCGAGCCGGAGATATCGAAAGATTTATAAAATCAGGTCGAAAACCTCGGGTCCCCCTGCTTGCATAACCTTGTGCCAGAAAAGACACGCGAGAGGAGAAACCCGTGCTCCTTTCTCTCCGACCAGGCTCGAATCGCTTTTGTTTCGACGATTTATTCGCGCGAGTCGACGCGAAATCGACTCCTGCCGCCAAAACGCGCGAACGAAACGTCCAGTCGTCGATAACTCTTTGATAGATAAATTTCTCGCACGCTGTATGCAAACGGAAGAATCAACGAAGCCTCGAAGTTTTCATCGGTACGCGCAATCCCTTCGACGGAGGCGACGGCGCAGCTTAATTGGTCCAATTAGTCGTCCAGCATGGGCGCGATCAACAACATTGTTAAGTCGAATGAGCGTGCGTATTAGCAGCGACGAGAAATGTTTGTCACGCGGTCGCATCTTTCCCGCTTTTCACCCTTAATTGGCCGGAGCCCGACGCTTAACGTCGTTAACCGTTGACGCTTAATTATATCACATGACAAAATGCTGTGCACGTTAAAAACAATTGGCGGCTTCGGAACGAGCGCCGCGTGACGCGAACCTTTGATCGTTTCTTGAACGCGCGGACGGTGGTTCTCAAACGTCTCGATCGCAGCTGTGCCGAGTGTTCGAAAACATTCGACGCGCCTGTAATTCGAAACGAACCGTGGACTAGTGTTTTGTCAACGATATGCTGTGCTTCCTCCGGTAATAATTACACCATTTAAACAAGACTTAGGTTAGGTTCGGTCTGGGTTATAAGGTTATCGGAAGGTGAATAGTTTCCGGTGGTACACATGATCTATAATGGGACCACTTTTACGAGGGATGTAGAGTCTCGTTAAACAAGTTAGCGTATAGTACGCTTGCATCGTTGCACTCGAAAAAGATGGTCGTATCGTAAGAAAATAGTCCTCGTTAAGCCACTCGACCTTTCCCTCTATTTTCATCTAGAAATGAATTATAGTCTGACCCAGTTTCGAGAATCCTTCTGTATAATAAAGGTCAAAGAGTCCATTATTAAAAAGTTACAACAGAAACATGAATCATGCAATGGCACGGGACAATAATTTCCGCCAATTTTCTGCGTTCCAAACTAATGGATTTCGTGTTTACGGGCTGTTCCCTGACAATGTCTAAACGTAGAATTTATTCTTCCGGGTTTATTTTTGAGATCAGTGTCTCTATCTATTAAAATTATATGCAAAGTATGCTTTTATGACTCTGGTGATCCGGAAAATAGGTAAATAACGGAAGAGAAATATTATTTGAGATAGTGAACCGTGCACAGGAATCGAATATTAAATGGGAACGGAAACGTTTGAATTCTAGGACGACGTGCACACGGAGACGTTACTAAAAGCTCGATCCTGTTGGACGTTACAGGTAAACGGTACAAAACGAGGCGCTTTTGTATCTTCGAGAACGGCCTTGACGGCATCTATACACCTCGGTATAACGATATCGCATGTGTGCAGGTGTGCCGACACTCCGAAGGGATCCGACGACACATATTATTACGTTTACGGTTTTATTCGATTCACCGTGTTTTCCAGGTCAGCCAGCAACGGCCGCATAATACACTTTCGTCCGGTGGAACCGAATAAATTCTGCGATAAAAATTTAATTCGTGGAACAACACGTTCGTATCTGCACGCATCTAACCTTGCGCTCTCTTTTTCTATTACTTCCAATTTTAGCTATTCCCCCGGAGCGTGCTTCGACCTATATATTCTACTCGTGCGTTAAACGCAACGTATTCTAGTTCTCGCCGTTTGTTCAAGAGTCTCGACGAACGAGCGCGTACAATTTCATGCTTCTTGTTCACGATTACACCCACGCACGATTCTTTCTCGTTCCCAGCGGGCCAGCCGTGATTTCAACGGTGGAAAAACGTCGTGTTTCGAAACCGAGGGAAATAATCTCCATTAAAATATATTACGAGAAGGGGATTCTTAAATTAATTTAGCGGTATCTTTTTCCAGCGTCTAAGTTGAATTTACCACGAAGAAGGTGTGAAAAGTGTTCAGAGTTTTACGGAGTGTTCGGTCACCCCTGGGAAAAATTTTAATGAGGGATTCTAGAGGCCAAAATAAGACAAAAATCAAGAATATCAATTTCTTGACTGAGGCTTTGTTAAAAAGTTATTAACAATTAAATTCAACAATTTCGAATCATTCTGGAAAAATTATTTTCGGTGGCGGGGGTCAATTACAATAATTTTTGGTGAATAGACATACCTCCGAAATCCTGCGAATTTTCGAGAAAAAAATTCGAGAAGGTGTGACATTTTTCGACGGAAAGAAAAAGTTTCAAACCGTTCTGGAAAAATTATTTTTGATTGCAGGGGTCAATTACAATCATTTTTGGTGATTAGACATACTCCCAAATTCCTAACCATTTTCGAGAAAAAAATTCAGTAAGTGGACAAATTTTTTGACAAATTGAAAACTTTTGAATCGTTTTGGAAAAATTATTTTCGGTTGTGGGGGCCAATTACAATCATTTTTTGTCAATAGACATACCCCCGAAATCCTGCACATTTTCGAGAAAAAAATTCGAGAAGGTATGAAATTTTTCGACAAAATTCAAAACTTTCAAATCGTTTTCGAAAAATTATTTTTGATTGCAGGGGTCAATTACAATCATTTTTGGTGATTAGACATACTCCCAAATTCTTAACCATTTT